TTAGGTATTTTTATGACAAATACCAAAAGTTGCATAAAAAACCTAAAAAACTAAATCACTGATAAAGGAAAAGGAAATATTAGATTGTTAAGGCATGATTTTTGAGTTAAATTAAATTGAATTAAGTTAAAGCCTCAACTTACTTTGTTTTGTTCAATTAAATTAAATTTTGTGTTAATTTTGACTTGAGTTTTACCCTAAAAATGACCAGCAAATTACAAATTTTGTGGCATAAATATATACGTCAATATGGTCAAGATTTTTGTGTTGAAAATGAAAAGTTTAAGTGCAACAAATGTGACATTTTTCTCAACGTAACCAGGCGATCACAAATTGACCAACATATTAAAACTAAAAAACATATTGACTCCTGCCAAATCAATTCATCAAATGATCAGGATAATGACGATAATGAAGTGGTGAATGAAATTCAAGCCGAGTTCAATAGAGATCTTTTCAATGCTTTTGTCAAAGCTGATATTCCATTAACTAAGCTTGAAAATGATGAGCTCAAAAACTTTCTCCTCAAATATACCAATATTGAATTGCCATCTGAACGAACTCTTAGAAGGATGCTTTTACCTGAATATCAAAAGGCCTTAAGTGACATAAGATCGCATATTGGTTCAAATAATATTTGGATATCAATTGATGAAACTTGTGATATTGCTGGTCGAAGTGTTGTTAATGTCATTGTTGGTATATTAGATGGCTTACCGGATAAAAAACCAATATTAATTCATGTTGAATACACTCAACCTCCAAATCATTCAATCATTGCTCAAGTTTTTGAAAATGCTTTATCAAAGCTTTGGCCTGATGGTAAGCATTATGAAAGAGTTCTTCTTTTTGTTACTGATGGAGCAAGTTATATGAAAAAAGCAGCTAAAGCATTGAAAATAATTTACCCTAAAATGCTTCATATAACTTGTATTATTCATGGTTTGCATCGAGTTTGCGAGACAATAAGAACTTTGTTTCAATCTGTTGATAATTTAATTACTGAAGGTAAAAGAGTATTCCGAAAAGCTCCAAAACGAATTCAACTTTTGAAACAATTGAATTCAAATCTGCCAATTCCTCCTCAGCCAACGATTACAAGATGGGGAACATGGTTAGAAGCTTCTGTTTATTATTATAATTATTTTTCAGAATTCAAAATTATTGTCAATTCATTAGACTCGACTGAAGCAGCATCTATCGTAAGACTGAAACAAATCTTAGATGAACCTTCGATAATTTCTGACTTAGCCAGACTCAATAATTTCAGCTTCATTGTTGATAAATTAAAATTTTTACAAACAAGAAATCTTACTATTGAAGATCAGTTGAATTCAATTTCTGAAATTAAATTAAAATTGAGTAATCTTCATGGCGGTTTCATTACAGAAATAATCGAGAAATTTGAAACTGTTATCAACAAAAATACTGACTTAAAACAGATTGAAAAAATTTCGAAGATTGTCAACTCATTTGAACCGATTCATTTAGATGAAATTGAATATGATCCAGTTCAATTGAATTCATTTAAATTTGCTCCATTGAGTAGTTCAGATATCGAAAGAACTTTTTCTCAATACAAAACTATCCTCAGACCAAACAGATTAAGCTTCACCGATGAAAACCTGAAAATGTATTTGATAATCCATGCAATAAGCAATAAATAACA